TGTACAGTGGGGTCTTGACTTAAGAACGGCTTGAGTTAAGAACATTTTGACTTAAGAACCGCCCTCATAGGAAAATATTGACTTGACTTAAGTACTTAGATTTGAGTTAAGAACTGAAAAAAAAAAACACGTGGGAGGCAGGGAAAGTGCAAAATTTGAACTTTCAGTTAACTGTTGGCCAGTGAAAAGGGTGCCTGTCTGCTTCCTCACTCCTCCCAGCGTTTAGAGAGTGGATTGGGAGTCTTCAGACTGCCTGGTACTGCCGGGACTGTATTTTCCCTGCCTTCCCTGAACCTTTCTTGACCTAAGAAAAAAAGAAACAAAATATCCCCCTCTAGTGGTCGAAGGCGGAATAGCAGCTTCCCATTAGTTTCTATGGACGGAAAAGCGCAGATACGGATCAAATGGTTTTCAATGCATTCCTATGGGAAATGCAGATTTGCCCTGAGAACTTTTTGACTTGAGAACCGCCTTCCAATACGGATTAAGTTCTGAAGTCAAGACCCCACTGTACTTCACTGGTTTGTGGTGAAGATAAAAACGGGGACAAAGGCAAATGCATTGGGATGTTTGAAGGAAAAGCAGAGTAATAAAGAAACAAGACAGTAGTGAGATAATTTGTCCTGCACTGGTTCCTGCAATTCAAACCAAAATCTTGATATTTACTTGAATTTGTTCCTGCTGACATCGTTGAAGCTTAATCTGTAGTAAGTGTTACATAGGATTGAAGCTAAGATTAGCACAATACTGTGAATGTTTTCTTGGAAGTTAGTCCTTCTGTGTTCAGCGGAACTTGCTGTAGGGTAAGCATACAGCCTCTATAGGTTAAAAAAGACGATACAATAATGTCCTTTTAAAATTAATATTTTGTATAGTAATTAATCTCAGAATCAATCTGGCTACATATATGGTAGTGGTGAGTAGATTGCAGACTGGAATGGTGATTTTTTCCCCCAGTTGAGGCAAAGATACATCAACCAGAGTTGTATAAAAATGAAGAAGTGACATCATACAATTAAGGAAGATGGTGACTTGCTGTTTCAGGAACAGAATTGAATTCACATTTTTTTCACACAGAAACCTGTAACTCACTTTCTTTATTTGGCATCCTAATTTAGTCCTATTATTGTGTCTAATCTTATTGGGGGAATCAGAAATACTTGCTGATCTACTGTTATCACAAATCACCCAGAGATCTATCACTAGGTTCCTACAGTATATTCATTCTACTTATCCCTGAAAAACACACACACACACACACACACACACACACACACAAGAAGTGGCGCATCACCATCAAAAAGCTCTAACTTCTCCCTCCCACAAAAATTCATCCCAGTTCTGGAAAACACCTATATTTACTATGTGCTTTGGCACACTCCCTGATCAAAGCACTTTTCTGTTACAGTAAGACACATTTGTGTCAATGAAAGCTCAGTTCTCAAAGCATTCTCTGATCTGAAAAAAGCAGATGAAAGCACACAAAACTTGGGGAGGAAGTTGACGGAGGAGATAGAAAAGGATTTTTTTAAAAAAAAAGACGAGTCAGTCACCTCGGGCAGTGTATTTGGGGTGCCCTTAGTCAGAAATGAATTATTTGAGTTATTGATACTTCATTGGGGAGTTCTCTTCTTATGGATTCTGTGAAATGAAAGGAGCTGTGTTTCTTGTGCAACATTCCATTTATTTCAGTAGGCCTTGCGCAGAGCTTTATAGAAGACCATGTTCCATGTTAGTATGTGGGAGATAACCATTTGCAAATTCTGTTTTTAAAGGAAAAAAACCCACATTTGTGACCTCCAAAACCTTTTGCAAACGTTTTGCAGTTCAAACTCTTGTTTTACAAATGACAATTTACACTTTAAAACAAGGACAGTAATACCTTGATTACTATATATATAATTGTGTTCTGTCAAGTCAATTCCAACTTATAGCAACCCTTTCCAAGGTTTTCTAGGTACTGTACAGCACTGGTCCCCAACCTTAGGCCTCCAGATGTTCTTGGAGTACAACTACCAGAAGCCTTCAACACCGCCTCTGCTGGCCAGGATTTCTGGGAGCTGAAGTCCAAGAACATCTGGAGATCCAAGGTTGGGGACCACTGCTGTACAGAATATTCAAAAGTGCATCTCCACTCTTCTTCTGGTGGTGCCTTGGGACTGTGCAGCTTGCTCATGGCTACACTGGCTGGCTCTTCTCCCTGAAGCACAGTAGGGAATTTGACTCCCAGCCTCTGATACGTAAACCACTGAGCTAAGAGTTCAATTTCCCATTGTGCCTGTCAGGATTAGAGCCAGTCTGTGTGGCCTTGGCCAAACAGCACAGTTCCAAGGTGCCCCTTGGCATTCTGGGGCTGTGCAGGACATGAAAGGTGCTCACTGTACGAGTAGAAATGAGTTTTGGCTTCACTTTCAATCCAATCCATGTCAGCTCACTTGCATCCTTTGCAAGCCTGGTCTTCTCCATTTCCTGTGATCAGCAGGAGAGTATATTTGGGCATTTGTGCCCTTCCACTGAACTGGGGATGAAGAAGCTATTGCAGACTGGAAGGTCCTGGAGAAAGGGCATATAAGAAGGTCAAAATTTATTATTTTATCGACAGCAGTGGAAAATAATTTTTTTTTCCTTTTTCAGTCAATTCTTTCAATATCCAACTTTCACATCCATACACAGCAAATGGAAATATAAAAGTAAAATAACCTTGGCCTTGATTTCCAGTTAATCCCAATGAAGAAATACCTTTACTCTTAAGGGTTTAGATGCCCTTCCAAGTCCAAGTCTTTTTCTGATTTCATGAATGCAGTATCTGGGATAAGAAATATTTCGATTTCTTTGTAGTCAACTACTTTCAAAGTCACAATTTTTTGTGTTCTTAATGTTTTGCACTCCTTTTGTGGGAATTGGAATGTATATTGAACAACGCCAGTCTGTGGTCCACTGTTTTATTTTCCATATTTGTTGGTATATTCTTTTTAGGATTTTGAGATTCAGCCTCTCAATCTTGGAACAGCTCTACTGCTATTACATCTATTCCTTGTGATTTATTTCTTCTGATTTTTTCCAATAATTGGATAATTTTCTCAGGTTTTCTGGTATATTTTTGTTATAATTGTGATAGTGTCAGTCTCTGTAGCTTGAAAAAGTTCTGTTGGTATCCCATATGCTCCTGGTAGCTGAAAGCCAGTAGTAAGACACAAATAGAGTAGGCCTATTGAATTAGTGGGGATATGGTGAGTTAAGTCATCTGTAGGTTTCACTGATTCAATAGGCCTATTTTAATTACTACTTACTACTGGATTCAAGCTATTTATTTCTTCTGATTATGCTGGGAATGGTTTTCTCTTCACTTTCTAAAATTGAAGGTTTGTTTTTTTTTAATTATTGGATGCTGTTTCAAAGGAATCTGTCATCCTTCCATCTCTTTTGCACTGAACTTTGGTATATTGTTTCCATCTTCTCTTTATTTTATCCTGATAGGTAACATGCTGCCCTCTTGATTTTTCAGCACACCTAATCTTACGTTAAATATCCCTTTATTTCTTGTTTCTCTTTTTATTGCTCTTTTCCATATCTTTACAACTATTATTTTAACAGCATTATTTCTTCCTATGTCCTAGCTGCTGAAAAGTTGCATTTAGGATTCTAATCCAGTTTCTGTCACCCTTTGTTCTCAGTTTTCATCTATCATTAACAATTTTAAAAATCTCTTTCTATATAAACTTGCCCAATCGCTAAGAACTGCTGGAAAGGCTCTCTTCCTTGTCCAACCATTGAGAACAATTCATTATGTGGAGACACAGGGATTGCTTCTTCTGCCACATCACCCCACCATTGGATTGTGCTCACCTTGAAGGCTTGATTGGTGCCAACACTGGTATCCTTTCAGTGGCAACTCAAGACATATTTATTAGAGCCTTTGTGGCTTGAGGATTGTGGTCTGTGCAGGTTTTACTGCAAATTTTAATCTTTTTAATGTCTGAATATTTTAATTTTGTGTTGGTTTGGTTTACATTGTTTTAAATATCTTATGTTTCAAAATTGTTTTATACAGCTTTGCAACCCACCCTGAGATCCTGTGATATGGAGTGGGTTATAAATGTTTAAATATTATTAAATAAATAAATAAATAGATAGATAGATAGATAGATAGATAGATAGATAGATGATAGATAGATAGATAGATAGATAGATAGATAGATAGATAGATAGATAGATAGATAGATAGATAGATAGATAGATAGATAGATAGATAGATAGATAGATAGACAGACAGACAGACAGACAGACAGACAGACAGATAGATAGATAGATAGATAGATAGATAGATAGATAGTCATGCATTGAAGCTTTTCTTTTGGCTAGAGGAATAATAGTTCTGTATTCCTCCTTGATAAAATCTCAGTTTCAATTTTCAGGTTACATCTGCCCAAATTCTTTACTTCTTTCTTTGCACACTCCAAACTGCATTCTTTCATTGCACATTCTAGTTTATATATTAATTTCCTGCCCATGGAGAACAACATCTCTCTTTATATTTTCCAGATATAGACTAGTGGGGGCAAGAGCAAAGGAAAAAAGTGTCTGAACATGAGAGGAAAAGGGAAACATATGAGCCTGAGGTTTCCTCCTGTAACAATACCACAGTGACAAGAAAAAAATGTACCTGTTTTATTCTACCGAACACTCAGTTGTTAAACATACTGAGTCTGCCTAGGAAAACAGGCTACCTTAAAATTTAGCAATAAATTGGAATTGTTTTCTTTTCAAGTGTTCTTAAAACTCTTGACATCAGTTTCTGATTTATTTCTTACAAAGCAAGACATTAATAAGCAACAGCCTATAGCAATATTATTTTGTTCTGTGACATCCAAGTATCTAAGTAAGTCAGATACTTGGATGTCAGTACTTTATTTAAAAAATTTGTTATTAAGCAATATGCATAATTAAATGAATATCAATTTCAGTATAGTACATTAATTCTCTTTATTAGAACTGTTTATACATATGGCCTGGTATCTGCATTTTGAAATATCACAAAAGCAGTCCCACAAGTTAAAAAAAATTATGCTGCAACAACTATACTAAAAATAATTAGAATACAGTAGTAAAAATAGTTTCTTAATGAGTAAGTTTTATAACATGATCATGATGACAATGTGTTTGATGCAATAATAATCTAGGATACTTTTTTCTGCTTTGCCTTCTTCAGCCATTGTTGTGGAGCTTCATTTGTCTGTTTTAAGAAAACAAAATGTAGACTTAATCTTAAAAAAAGCAGTCTCAGATAAACATACAAAAGATAACAAGCTAAACACCCAAAAATGCAACTGAAGAGCTACTTTACAAAAAGCCGAATTCTGCTATTTGCACACATTACATAACAATACATGCATTTTTTTTGTGTGTGACCATTTTGTTTTGCTTGAGCCAGTCATGGGGAGAACCAAAGAATGATGCAAAGCACTGAGAAACCGGCTTGTGTTCCCTGCTCAACTTTTTCAATCAGATTTCAGTCATTCCAGTCCCTGGGAATGCACATAAACGAACATGCTCAGCAATAGGAAGGTTCTGAAAACAGTGATGGCTCAAAACTTCCAATGAAGGGAAGTCCACTACTTTGAACATATTTATTATTTGTTCACCATTCTTTTGGCAGACATCTTCCACTTGTATTTGTTCTTACAAAGCTATTTCCTAGATTTTTGGAGTTTCTGAATTACTCCCACATCCAGCTATGAAAAGAAAAATGTTGCTTGAGTGACACATTTGCTCTTTGAGTGCTCTTCTGTGCACTCACACAAATGGGCCTGCACCTCACAGAGCCATCCCTTTTGGAATCTTCCTGATTGAGAGCTTTTGAGCATTGGTTTACTCCACTCCCCATGCATGCCTCACCTTTTAAATTTCAGATAACACAGAAGCATAAGTCAGTTAACCACAAGTGCCAGACATGGAAAAAGAAGGGTTGTGTGAATGCACGGAAGACCACTAAAAAACAACAACACATACTGTATTGCAAAACTACCTTTTTGGGGGTGGGTGTCATCATGGTGTCTCTGCATTCACACTAATGGGTCAGGACTAGGGAACTCACCACCAAAAATGGTGCAACGATGGGTAGGAACCTGTACTTATTGGACTACTGTGAAGAGAATTGCACTCTTGGAAGCAGCTACAGCCTGGTAAAATGACTTCTAGGAGTGTTAGACAGAGGTATGTTCACTAGTTAGTAAGCCACTGTAATCGTTTTCATGAGCCACTTAACAAACCTTTGGGCAGAAATGGCCTGTCTCTGTTAGTGACCATAATGTGCCAAGAAATGATGAGGAGACTGCCTGAATGTGTGTTTTTTTGCCATTCAAAGAAAGGCAGTGCCATTCCTATGTTGAATATGTGGAGATTCCTCTCTATTAGTATTGAAGGAGATGGAAACAAGAGGAGCATTACAATGTCCTGTACAAAGTGGAAACCTGACACAACCTTTGGTAAAAAGGTGATATGGAGCTGAAGTATCAATTTGTTGAGACATCAAAAATAAGGTTGACCTTCTCATAGAGCACACATCTTCCCAGCCCTTCAAGCAAATGTGATGGCTACCAGGCAAGGCTGTCCTTGCTGTCAAAAACTTCCAAATATGTGTTGACCAAAGCCTCAAAGGGAGACGTTACAAATGGAGTCAGTATTAATTAAATATACCATGAGCACAACGGGAGACATGGGCAGAAATCTATATTATATGCCTCATAAAAAATTCTTAATCTCTATTATCATGAATAAAGAGGCATAAGTCTTTACCTCTAGCAAAGAAAAAGCTGATAAAGCTAACAAGTACACTTTAACAGAGAAGAAAGATTTGTCCAACAGTAAAAAACAATGCAACACTTAGAACATGTGTCTAGATCAAACATTCAATCTTTTGCAAATCTGCAAAAAGCCTTTCTTTTGTATTCATAGCATTTACAGTATATTATTTATTCATAATTATCTATTTATTTAAAGCATTTATACCCTATCTTTCTCTGTAAAAGGTCCCAAGAAATTGATGTGAGGTTTTTCTGGCTTTCTGTACTATGTTGATAATTATGTTCCAGGTTGCACTCTTCAGGCTGAGAGACATACTAGTAATATCAGGATAAAAGATTAATCCTGACTTTGGAGATGACATCTAGCCAAGCAGGAAGCCTGTAAAAAACTCTTGGATTGATCTGCAGAAGCAGGAGGAGGAAACAAAACTGTCCATGTTGACATGGTGTTATCAATATTCTGTGTGGCTTCTCTTTGCAAAGATTTACCACCACTCTGGCTAACAATGGGAATGTTAGAATCAGTAATGTCTTTTCCCATTATAGGACTGAAGCATCTCCTAGGGAATCATCTACTGTTTCTGTTTTGCTGTAATGCAGCAAAAGCTTCCTGTTGATCCTAGAATCCAACAAGCTGATTGGAGGTCAACTCTAGACCTCTCTTCAGTAGCACAGGATGGACCTCACACTCATTGATATCTTTGTACACTCTGCTAAACAAGTCTTTCACACAATTCATCCCCATTCATGTCATAGTGGAATTGCTGGTGGCCATTGGTACAGGTGAGTAGAGCTTGAAAAACCTTCTTTGAACACTGAACATGAAGGTAAGGATCAAGCAGAACTTATCCATATTAAGGCACAGTCACAGATTATTTAATTAGGTCAAAGCAATGTAGAGGCAGAACCATGTATAAGATATAACAGGCTGATAATAAGCTATAACAGGCTGGTCACTGATGTATGGATAAATGACAATGCCTTGTTCTTTTGAATGTGTTGCCCACACTGTCATTGTTATGCTAAAACCACTCACAGCCACAGAAAGGCTGAATGACAATACTTGATGTCATTAACATGTCTCTCCAAAAGCAAACCACAGATATGGATTGCAAAGATGTATGGTTACATGGCCCCTTCATGGATTGCTGCCTTGTCCTGGTGAAGGGCTTGAGTAATTCAGAGAAGCTATGGGCTATGCCGTGCAGGGACACCCAAGACGGAAAGGACATAGTGGAGAGTTCCGACTAAACGCAATCCACCTGGAGCAGGCAGGGGCAAGCCACTCCAGTATCTTTGCCAAGAAAATCCCATGAACAGAAGCAAAAGGCTAAAAGACATGACGCTGTAAGATGGGCCCCTCAGGTCCGAAGGCATCCAACATGTTACTGAGGAAGAGCGGAGGACAGGTACAAGTAGCTCCAGAGCTAATGAAGTGGTTGGGCCAAAGCCGAAAGGATGCTCAGCTGCGGACACGCCTGGAAGTGAAAGGAAAGTCCAATGCTGCAAAGACAAATACTGCATAGGAACCTGGAAGGTAAGATCTATCAACCCTGGTAAGTGGATGTGGTCAAACAGGAGATGGTAAGAATAAACATTGACATCCTAGGCGTCAGTGAACTTAAATGGACGGGAATGGGCAAATTCAATTCAGACGATTATCATATCTACTACTGTGGGCAAGAATCCCATAGAAGGAATGGAGTAGCCCTCATAGTCAACAAAAGAGTGGGAAAAGCTGTACTGGGATAGAATCTCAAAAATGATAGAATGATGTCAATACGAATCCAAGGCAAACCTTTCAACATCACAGTCACCCAAGTTTATGTACCAACCACCGATGCTGAAGAGGCTGAAATTGACCAATTCTATGAAGACTGACAACACCTTCTAGAACTGACACCAAATAAAGATGTTCTTGTCATTACAGGGGACTGGAATGCTAAAGCAGGGAGTAAAGAGACAGAAGAAACAACACACCTATCTCCTATTACTTAATTTTAAATAATTAAGTTTACTTGTTGGCCAAAATCCTCTGCAGTGAATTGCCACAAGTTAAGAAGTCAGAGTAAGCTTCTCTTGTTGAACACCAGCTCGTGTAATTTGAGATGCAATAGCAAATGCCTACATTAATTTCTTAACATGGGACTTTTGCCACTGTGAATTGCACTAACTGTATACACTAGTAGAAAAACTAAACAGTATTTTGGCCAACATTAATTAATCCATTAGGCTATTTCTTGACTGAAGGGCATCTATGAAAGAGTATTCATGCACTGGGAGGCATTATTTGCAAACACCCCTGCTTGAAAATTTTTAATTCCTAGATGTCAGTGCTATGGAAAAAGGAGCAAACATGTTGCAGGGAGCCTCACATGTTTCATGCAGGTCTTAAGGCCAGAGTGTTATATGTACTTATATCTCTTAAGTAGCATTGGAATCAGTGAGATTTAATTCAGATTAGACTTGAGAGCCAGTGTGGTATGGTGGATAAAGTTGTGAACTTGGGGTCAGTGGACCTGGGGTCAAATCCTTGCTTGGCCACAGAAACTCTCTGACAGTGGCAATGGTAAAACCATTCTTTGAATATCTCAGATTAGGGTTATTATGTGTCAGATGCAACTTGATGGCACATAAGAAATAAATAGGCCTATGTAGTACGTAGTATTCAACATCAAAACAACTAAGATCATGACCACTGGTCCCATCACCTCCTGGCAAATAGATGAGGAAGATATGGAGGTAGTGGCAGATTTTACTTTCTTGGGCTCCATGATCACTGCAGATGGAGACAGCAGCCACGAAATTAAAAGACACCTGCTTTTTGGGAGGAAAGCAATGAGAAACGTAGATAGCATCTTAAAAAGCAGAGACATCACCTTGCCGACAAAGGTCAGCATAGTCAAAGCTATGGTTTTTCCAGTAGCGATGTATGGAAGTGAGAGCTCGATTATAAAGAAGGCTGGCTGCTGAAGAATGGATGCTTTTGAATTGTGGTGCTGGAGGAGACTCTTGGGAGTCCCCTCGACTGCAAAGAGAACAAACCTATCCATTCTATCAACCCTGAGCGCTCACTGGAAGGCCAGATCCTGAAGCTGAGGCTCCAATACTTTGGCCATCTCATGAGAAGAGAAGACTCCCTGGAAAAGACCCTGATGTTAGGAAAGTGTGAAGGCAAGAGGAGAAGGGGACAACAGAGGACGAGATGGTTGGACAGTGTCACCGAAGCGACCAACATGAATTTGACCAAACTCTGGGAGGCAGTGGAAGACAGGAGGGCTGGCATGCTCTGGTCCATGGGGTCACAAAGAGCTGGACACGAATTAACGACTAAACAGCAACAACATGGTTATGTGGAAAGTAGGCATCTATCAGGTCTATTGTTGCAAGCCAAAATAGCTAGTAAACTGGCCAGTTAGTATTTGAAAATGCTTTCTGGTTGTACAGGCAGTTACCATGAGATCTTAGATTGGATAAAGACCTTAATTTTTCTTTGATATAATGAAATATCAGAAGTAGCCAACAGCACTTGGATGTCTCAGTGCTAACTGAATAGCTCCTTTGCCAATAAGGCTCTCTATTTTTTTGCAACAAAACCTCTGATGATGTTGTCAGAGGTGTGATCAAACTCTATTTGATAGCCTCATTAGACTATAGTGAAGACACATTGATAGGGAGTAATGTTATTCCAAGCTTGAAGTAAATCTGGTAGTGAAGATGACAGGTTTGGTATTTAAGTGAGAAGTACACTGTTATGGAGCATTCCCAGTACCATGGATGGTAGTATTTACAGTACTTTGTGAGGTGACAATGCTGAGAAACTTGTCAATATCTGCTCCTTCATTCTGCAGCCCTTTGTTCGGATCCCGCAGAGGAACCTTGTTTGGGTTGCAAAGCAAAGAACTCTCACTGGAAGGGGACGGCTGCTTACCTAGGAAGCTGCACAATTGTGATGGTGATAAACCTGACCCATTCCCAAGTTGGTAGTTGAAGCTGGAGGTGTATGGAGGAACTCCTATTTTCCTAGCTGTAGCTGTCAACATATGGCCTGCATCCAGCTCTTCAACCATCCTAGATGAAAGAAGACCCTGGCAGTTGAACTGCATAATATCTGCTACCTTGTCTTTATCACCCTGTGATAGACTGGTGGAACAAAGCCAAGTGTAATGTCTTGAGGTAACAGCATCTGCCAAAGCCTTGGCAGAGCTGGCGGGCCACATGTTGCACTGCACTCATCTGTTGTTTCGACACATTGTTCACTTCTTTAATGAAATATGATGCAACTTGTTTTGCATCGTCAGGAAGTTAATCTATGAGAGCCACCACCTTGTCCCACAGGAACATTTTATAACACCCAACCTAAGCTTGCTAGTTTACTATCTTTGCTGACAACATGAAGCTTTGCATCTGAACAGATCTGGTCTTCTTCCCTCCTTGTCCAGTGGAGCCAGTGAGAACCTCTTCCTTGTTGAAGATGCTATGATGACAGAGTTCAGTATTAGATGTTAGAAGAGATGTCCACAGGCTTCTTCCTAACTCTATAACTCTCAAATCACCTGTCTGAAACTGGTACCATTGTGACTTTCTATATTTCTCCTTGGCAGATCTCAGCAGGGAGAACATTGGTAAGGCAACTGGAGTGCTGTTCTGGACCCTAAATACTGAAATGATGGGGTCATCTTCAGGAGGATCTTGTCTGCAAAAATGTATGTCCAGACACTTTGTGAGGTTAATTAATCTGTCAGAAAAGACCAGTATGTTTTCCAATTGCAAAGGAGAGTCATAAGGAGATACTGTGGTATTCAGTGATATGGATTCCTCTGTGTTTCAGTCAGTATCATCCTGCTCGATCCAACATCTGACTCTCTGTTGGACTTTACTCCATGAACTGAAGGCAGGTCTTTTTTTGGATCCCTGTCAGTTCTGTGCCCATTACAATGATCATCGCTGATGTAGATGCTAAAACTGGTTTAGCTACCTCACATCCAAGTGGGTCTCTCATACCAAGGCCTGATGCAAGTTCAATGTCAGTAACAAAGCCAACAGCACACTAATGTGGTGTATGTTACAGGTCTAGTGATGAAAAACAGTAGTGTTGATATTGATACTAAGGTAGGCATTGAAGCTGTAGATGGTATAGAAATTGGAGGCAGTAGGGCCTCCCTTGTTTTTCAAGTTGACCACCTCAAGTTCTTCAACAAGTAATGGCTGCAGTGTGGAGACTGATAGCAATAATGCCCAGGAGAGTGTAAGCAGCACTGTCAATATGACAGAGATCTCAAATGGTATTGACAGGTATTGTACCATGGGCTCCTGCACTCAAAGTATTCCTTCTCTATTGATCCCTGCAGGAACAACAACAAGATGAAGCTTTCATTCTGGAGAATAAGTTCATACTGACATGGTTTATCAAAGGCATCCTTGGGACCAATACACCCATAGGCGTATATTGCTGGATCAGCATAGCCATTTGCTCCTCCTCCACCTTCAAGTGTAGCCTCACACAGGCATATCAGGAGGGACTTTGCCGGTGGCCTTAAGTGGTTGCGGAGAAAGTTGTTGCAGAATTTCCTCAGGCAGTTTAGAGGAAATTCCCAGCAGTCAAAAGCTCTCAGTCTGGAACATTCCAAAATGATTGTTTTTTACAGGCACAGCCCCATAAATGTGAATGCATAGAGACTACGATCAAGAACTACACAGAACAATTTTCCCATCCTACATCCTGACCAACTGTAAACTATTCTGTATATTCTGTAGCTAGCAAAGGTGACTTGCCATCATTTCACAGACGTGCATGCACTTAGCCCATGGCACAGTGTAGGGTATACTCTCATAGTAGCAATGTTTGTATAAGAAATTCACTGAGAGAGAAACAGGCTTAATATAAAATATGGCTTGAAGTCATATACCTTTCCTGTTCTGCAACAATATGAAGTTACTAACGGAATGGCATAAAATTAGCAAAAGATGAAACACTAAAAAATTAATCAATTAAGAAATTGATTATGCTGTTTAGATAGAAGTTTTGTTGGGTTCTGCTTACCAAGAGTCAGTGTTATCCACTGATTACAAGAGCCATGTTCAACGTCCCAATCAGGTATGATGTTCACATTGTGACCTTGGGTCATTCTTCCCCTCCCCCCTCAGCTGACCTTGCCCTCATAATGTGGCAATAAAATGGGTGGAAGACCATGTATGTTACCTTATGCTATTTGGTACAAGTATGGTTTCAACATTTATTTTTTTAAATAATTAATTTTTTTTAAAAAACTGATTCATAATTTTTTGTTTAAGTTCACTCCCATTTCCCATTCATAAGAATGCTATATGATAGGGATGAGGTGAGATACAGTAGCTTGCTCAAGGTCTGTAACTTTCACAGATGTGGGTGGGTGAGTGCTTGATTTGAACATGGCTCAGCCCAGTCCTTATCCAGCTTGTTTTAATCTAAAAGCTTGTTTTAATCTAAAAGAACATAAATAAACTCACAGATCTTTAAAAATTACTATACTTACAAATAATGTTGGTTTGGGTGCAAATGTACTTTCCTCCTCATGTTCTAAAGGTAGATGGGCTGATAGATTGGATATGAATTTTGCAGGCAGATTTTTATTTTGGTTTTGAGGAAAACTGTCTCGTTGGGGTTTACTATGAAGGCTGATCAACATCTGTTTCATCACAGCAAGTTCCTGACAAAAGATGACACCCCCCAAGCTTCAATAATGGATTGCAGAATATGTATTTTCTATTCATCACACCAAACTATATAAGTGGAACCATTACTATATAGCAATCTTCCTTGGCTGATTACTTATTTGAAACCACTTCATAAAGGAAGTAATAAAGCAACAAAAGCACACAAGATTTTTATAAACAGAATCCCATCATTTTTGAAATGCTGTAATAGAAAAAGATTTACAGAACACAGTTAAGCAACTCACTAGCTCCTTTTCACTTAAACTGCCATTTATCTTAAAATAATTCTTTTAAAATGTTTGTTCTGAAAAGGAAGAATGGCTTCTTAATCCAATCTGCATGTACACAAGTAATAATCAGATGGCTGAGATAAGGGAGTATGTCTTTCAAGGGGAAGTACTTCTATGTATGAAAATTACTCCTAGGGAAAAATGCAGGGGGGGGGGCACAGCCAGGGAAAAAATGAATCAATACAATACAAAACTTACACTAAAATATTTAAAAAGCATTAAAGAGAAAAGGTGTCCCACTCACTTCTGGTTGACCTATGTGTGGAAAATAAAAAAACGGTAGTAGTAAGTACTGTGTGGACCTAACATATTCTATTCTTCTGAAACACATTATATGTTAACAAAGGGAAATTGTCATGGCTTCTTCAGTTTACCCATGCAAAATATAATTCAGGGCTTTGTTTCTCAGCTTAATCACATCACACACCAACAATAATCACACGTTTAACATAGAGAACAAGTTCTCCCATCAAGATCCAGGAGATAGTAATTTATTTTATATATATACTCAAATCAACTCTTTTAAGTTGGACAGTGATTGATTCAACCTCATCCTGTGAACTTAATTATTTATTTAAAATATTTTTACCCCATCTTTCTCTTAAAAGAACCCAAGGCAGCTCAAATCACTAAAAGACTACATTTAAAAGCTAAAAACAGTAAGTATACAAATATTTTAAAAGAATTAAATAAAATATTCTCTTAAAAATAGTCAAAACAATATTAAAAACACATTTAGAAGCAACAAGGCACAACAATCCACTTAAAAACCCCTCTCAAACAGACAGCCACTCAGGTAAAGTCTGCCTGAAGAAGGGCAGCAAAGATGGGGCAGCCTGGCTCCAGTAGGAAGCAGTTCTAGAGTCTGGGAACAGCAACAGAGAAAGCCCTCTCCCATGTCACCACCAAACACACCTGTGAAGGTGATGGGACCTAGAGAAACCCAGGACTTTGAACTGTACCTTGAAATGGAACGGCAGCCAGTGCTGCTGCTGTAATGGGCGTTACCTGATCCTTATAACTGCATGTAGTGTCTCTGAATGATATACTACTAGACTTGCCTCTTATCTAAGAGCTAGGTAATTTAGTAGCATTTACATCACACATGAGGGGATCAGCATTATTTTCATTAAACGTGAATGGATCAACCAGTCATCCTCAAATGTAGAGATACAACATATTTCATCACGCTCATGAGATGGTTGCTCTTTGTATCTCTGCATGAATCATTGCTCTGAGCTTGCCTCTTTTCAATCAGGAGATTTTCCCACTAATGCAATTCAGACAGAAATACTTGTTTCAGAATGTCAACTCTGCTGTGGGTGGATAATTGTAAGATTTTCTTACATGAAAACATCAATACTAAGTTTTGAAAATTACGCATACCCCTATTTCAATTGTGAAAAAATGCTTTCCATTTTCAGAAGCTGGTTAATTGTATGCTAAGAGCACTACTTCAAGCATGTGGGCATTAGTCTGACTTCAGTCTTCAGTTCTTCTGTAGAGGATATCTGCAATCTTCACAAAAATATTGATTACAGCAAAATGTGAGGAGTCCTGATTTTTTCCTGTAACTCATGGGTTTTAAATGAATCTTTACTTTATAATGACAGAAGATGGCAAACAAGAATATATTTGCTACTGGAGAAGAATGTTTTCCTAATTTTAAGATGAATATCCCACTGATTCACATACTGTTTTGGCTGCAATAATGAAAACATGCCTTAAAGGATGAAAGCATGCCATTCCTCAAACATTATTGCTGATAAGCAGTTCTACAATACTGTCGGATGTAAATTCTTTTGCTCAAAAGGTAAAAATAGGCAGGCTTTGTTGTAGCAATGGCTATGCCTAGTAAATTAATGCCAATATTTCAGTTATGAGCTCCTCATGCCACCATCCTAAATCCTAAAGCACACCAAACCAGCCACTGGCTGCATTCTTCTTATTGCTCAGTCATTTAATATTGTAACTATCTGCATAATTCAGCCATGTGTAGTGGCATGTCAAAACAGCTCAACTGCAGAGCAGCTGTTTCAAAGGACTGCATAACTGATATCAACATGTTGCTGAAAGTTGTGAACTCTGCAAAGATGTTGCCAAAGCAATGCATAGACAAAATGTCTTGATGAAAATAACTTAGACAATTATACTGCAGGCACATGTTTCATCTTTAAGGCACCAAGTTTGCAATCCTAAGCATACCTACCACTTTGAAACTATAGCAATCAGTAGGATTTTCAAGTTATGCCCAGGATCAGGAGGCAAATGTTTCTTCATTTATAATCTCTGAAATTCTGAGGTTCATGAAGAGTTAGGTTTCACAGAAAACAAATCAAACTTTTAGTAATTGTTTGGCCATCATATGTGTTGGAGAGAGGCTAATTCTTAGGCAGCACAGAGAATATTAGTTGAGATTTCCTCTTATAAAACTCAATCTTACGTAAGGGACACCATACCTTCATTTCCACCACAGAATATGATTAACCAATATTTGAGGAAATAATAGATGTTTGCATTTAAGCATTTTTAAAATGTTTTTATGAAAACAGTGGACATGGTAACCCAGGCTTCCATAACCTGCTCCCTTCGATGCTTTGTTTTTTTAATACAATGTTTTATTCTTTTCAGTGGGAGTAGGATTTTGGGGAAGGGAATTTGGGATTGGGGGATAGGTATAGATAGGGAAAGGGTAAAATTCCAGAGAGTTAGATAGTACATTTACATCAACATATAATTATACTAGTAAGAAAGATAAAAAGAAAAACTAAACATTTTCTAGTATTACTATATTTACTAATCTATCTTTTCCCTAGTTGGATCTTCACATTCTTCTTTTGTCTATGCTTTCCAGGCTATTGTTTAAGACTACTGTGTTTCCCCGAAAATAAGACAGGGTCTTATATTAATTTTTGCCTCAAAAATGCATTAGGGCTTATTTTCAGGGGCTGTTTTATTTTTATTTTTTCATATGTATGTATGTCTGCAGGAAAAAGAGAGAAGGGGGCAAATGTCAGTGAAAAACAAAAAACAAATCAAAACAAAACCCATTGATGTGACCAGCCTGAGATATCTGCATACAATTCCCTTTTTCTGTAGCAACAATTGGTAACAATTCAATCATCCCAGCTTGAGTGCATTAAGACCTATGTAGAGAGGGAAGATTAACTGTTGCTCACACCTCTTCCAGGCTTTATGACTCTGCATCTGAGCTATCTCATGATAGAGAGGGAAGATTAACTGTTGCTCACACCGATACTTCCAGGCTTTCTGACTCTGCATCTGAGCTATCTCATGGAACACAGATTTCAGAACATGCCCACTAATGTAACATGCATCTCTGTCCTCAATTAATACTTCCTGTGCTGGATTCTAAGTACAGTAGTGTCATGCCACACAAATTATTTTCCTTATTAAGAATAAAGACTACAAGCAGAGTGTACATAAGGTGGGCACTTTGCTTATACAATATCAGGTTGGGACAGGCTATTAACAGTAATATATGAATACTGATGGATGGCATATTATGTCTCTAGCTCAAGCTAGCTGCAAAGAGGCAGAGACCTGAGTTGGAAAAGCAGGGTGCAGGGGAAGCTGAGATATGATGTGCAGCAAACAGGAGACACTAGTTTCTCAATAGAATAAGAATGAGTCAAGCTCCCCCGGGCTGAATTTAACTGGAAGTTCCAACAACAGATAGATTATTTTAATCAACAGGATTTACATACTTACATGTTAATGGACCATTATAGTTAGGACTAACAATTGGATTTAAGTCCCAGTATTTATACCAGGCCTGGTCAATTCAAAGGCTTTATATTGCTTTTAAGAGGAGAATGTTCCCGGTGCAAACTGTTACATGCTTTTTTGGCTAGGAGAGGATTTAGTAGAGCCACATGGTTGATATAAGAAACAATCTTTAGGAAAAGTGCATGGATGTCAAACTGCAGAAGATAACTAATCATATATTCTACTCTGTGATGCTGATTCTTTCTCAGTGCAGTGGCTATGATCTGAAGATCTGTGCAACTTATTATGGGCAAACATGGGGGCTTTGCGTATGTGCTTTTGGAATAGTACAGTCTCCCATGCCAAATGGTAAACTGTATTTGCAATTAAAAAGACTTTTCGAGTTACAGACTTCTCTGGCCCCCCCCCCCCTGGTTTTCACAATGCTTCATTAAAATAAAAAAGCATGCCATGGCTGGGTGGAGTCTGGCCCTTCAGATTTGTTGAACTTCAACTTCCATATTCTGTAGCATTGGCTACTGTACTAGGGATGATGGTATGTTCTGCCTCTGTGATGCTGACACTCAAAGTTTCTCAATAAAGCGGCTATGATCTGAAGCTGCAGTCCAGCAATATCTGGACTGCCAAACGTTCCCAAGTCCTGTTGTATGGTGTGTTCCTGTTTCTTGAGTGACAGGGAGGGTATGGATGCCAATGCTTACATTTACTGTCTAAAGAAGTGCTGTGAAACAATTAGAAACTCATTACTCTGTCTAGTAACTGACTTAGCAAGGAAAGTCACCTAAATCTCTTTGGATGTTATACGAAGTGCTGTTGGCAGGATGACGGATAAATAGAATTTGCGACAAAAATATTATCCCCCAAATGTTTGTTATTACATGTTGTCAAGTCACCTTGGACTTAACGGCAACCCTATGAATGAGCGATCTCCAAAGTGGCCTGTCCTCCACAGC